TTTTTTTCGGAAATTTCTTTTTAACCGTTTGTTTTTGTACAAAAAAAACGGCTTAGGGGAACTCTAAGTAATGGATTATAGCGTTTGTGAAGATGAAGCAGATAACTGGAGAAAGTGCACAGAGAAAAATTTAGGGAGTTCTGATTTAGATCAAATATGCACCAAGGAGCTTTCTTCGTTTGACCAATGCATTGCTGCGTGGCGGTCAGGTGTTGGTCATAGTGTGAGGATAAAGGGTGAGAATGAAGGTGAACCGCCACCGCAGTGTGCAGCGATGTCTTGCCTCATTGGATTATGCCTTCGCAACAACGGGTATAATTTTGAGGGCTGCAAAATTCCTATGCAGTATTTTAAGCACTGCGTCAAGAGCTTGTACGGATCGGAATACGTTACGTAAGCATCGCATTCCGTTATCCACGCTTTTTATTTTTTACTTTTTTTGAAAATTTTTAATATGTGAAACCGTTGTTTTTGATGATAGCGTCTCACGTGGCGAGTAGATGTTGCTTGATATAGGAAGCAAAACAAGCAAAAGCGAGGAATAAAGGACAGCGGCCATCTGCTTGTCTTTTTATTCTTGTTTTATTTTTGAGTTTTCTTCCTTGTGTGGCACTTTTTCCCCTTTGTCTTCTTGTTGAATACTACAGAACCGCGATGGATTTTTTTAGTGCTCTTTCTAGAGGGGCAAAATTTGATGCGGAGAAGCATGGCACTGCCATGAAGCGTTTCCGGTCTGGAAATGCCAACAAGGACCTGCCAGTTGCTTGTGGTACCTCGCCACTTCTATGTGAGAATGGCGCAGAGATACCTATTCCTAGTCGCACCCTGGATCTTTTTGGGAACTCCAAGAGTTTAACGTCCATGATAGACAAGGTTTCGACGAACGAGAATTTTCCCGACAACAGCAGTACAATCACCACCACCATGGCCCACAAGCCCCTTCCAACCATAAGTATGAAGAGAATAAAAAATATATGGCGTAAAAATGAATTGGAGGTTGAGGGTGTTGATGTGCCACATCCAATTGAGCATCTTTCAGACCTTGTACGTCCTCCATTGTCTGTTGATGAGCGCTTGGTTACCAATTTGTTTGAGCGAAACCATCGCATTCCAACACCAGTTCAAATGCAAGCCATTCCATCTTTGCTTAGCGGGAGAGATGTGCTGGCGTGTGCCCCAACTGGTTCAGGAAAGACAATTGCCTTCCTCATTCCCATGTTTCATCGGTTGAAAAAACCCAGTCCCGAAGCTGGTGTGAGAGCGCTTATCATAACTCCAACAATGGAGCTAGCTGAACAGATAGAAAGAGAAGCTTTTTTTCTCATGAAAGGACAACGCTGGAGACTTGTTCAGCATGGTCAATCGACGCGCAACAAGGACATTTTTGTCACCACACCTGGGCGTGTTTTCTCAATGATGGAAAAAAAACTTATTGATCTTAGTAACATTCAGTATCTTGTATTTGACGAAGGAGACCGTCTGTGGGATTCCACGACTGATAACCTTCAAGTGGTAGATTCTGTCCTCACTGCATGCACTTCTGGAGAGAAAGTGGTTGCACTGTTTACTGCCACACTGAGTGCCAAGATTGAAGCAATAGCTCGTTCGGTAATGAGCTCTGACCCTATTCGTATTATTGTCTCTGGTCGCGCCTCGGCAAGCAAGAATGTCTCACAGAAGCTTCTTTTCTGTGGAAACGAGCTGGGAAAAATTGTGGCAATGCGCAACATTCTTCGCGAGGGGATAAACCCTCCAGTACTTATCTTTGTTCAGAGCATTGAACGAACAAAAGAGCTTTGTGAGGAAATAAGGTGCCAAGGTCTCCATATTGCAGTAATGAATTCTAAGATGACACATGAAGAACGAGATGATACAATGATGAATTTTCGTCTTGGGAAGATATGGGTTCTTATCACAACAGATGTTCTTTCCCGAGGAATCGATTTCAAGAATGTTGGTACAGTGATTAATTTTGATATTCCGACAACTGTTGAGGCCTATATTCACCGAATAGGTAGATGTGGACGTGCTGGAAAGACTGGTACAGCCATAACATTCTTCACTGAGGACGATAAAGAACGAATTCCACCAATTGCTCGTGCCATGAAAGAGTCAGGCAATTTTGTTGAGGATTGGATGCTTGAAATAAAGTCCGACCGTCAGACACGTCGTCGTCTTCGGCGATGTACTCCCCAGAGAATGATTGTGAGCACGAGGAAAAGAATGCTTGTGGCTGATCAACGTATGGAGAGGCAACTCCGACGATTGGAGCATGACGCTACAGTTGCGAAAGATAAGGATTCGAATAAGAGTAGCGTGTAGCTAATGATAGGTTAACAAACAAATCACACACAAAAAAAGGAAGAAACGGGGAAACTATGGCTAATCCGACTAACAAGTTTTATAAACTCTTCGAGACACGCTTAATTCACGTTCATTTGTGCTGGGCGACTATGGATACAATCGATTCCCTTTTTTTTTCCTCTTTGATTCTGGTACCGATGTTTGGGTAGAATTTTATATTAGTTCTGCATACAGTTAAGTATACCGCATGTGGTAGTTGCCGTGCCTTTGTTCATAGAGGAGGTAGCATTGGCGCAGGAAGCCTCCAGAGAGGCAAAAGCAAAAAAAAAACCCTTGGAGTAAAGTGAAACCATTCTTTAGTGTGCTAAATGGTCGGGCAGGTTCTACGGTGTGTATGAACTGCGGCGAAATCTTCATGTTTTGGCAAGTCGCTTTCCTGTTCTTTTTTTATTATTATTGACCACGTAACACCGTATACGTGTCATTTTTAGTTTTGTTGGTCTGCTGGGGATTTTTCTCTGCGTGACCTTTCTTGAGGGCGGTGACGGAAAAAAAAATTACGGTCTCCGTTTATTAACGAAAAGTCGCTGGTTTCGCTTATTTGTGGCCTAGTTGTGCGATGGGACTGTTGTTTCTCCTTGGTGTGGGTCATACAAGGATGGCTAAGGTATTCGTCAAGATGAAGAGTTTGTGCTGGTGGTGACATAGTTTTGAGATTGCTATAAGTATCTGCGGATGCGGTTTTGGTGTGAGAAATCGGGATGCATGGAGGTGGGAATAGTATGGTCTTATGTTGACCTTGACTGTGAAACTGCTGTGGCTTGCATCAGAGGGCATGCATGGTACCCCTAAGCAGAGTGTGTGGTGGGGGAACAGATGACCAGGCAGCCTGACAGACATAGGGGGCCTTCTCTTCGGATGTTACAGGAACCAAATTGAGACGAAAAATCCAAAACAAATGCCTTTTTCTTATTCTGCATCGTCTAAAGTGGGAACTTCGATCTTTTTCTTTTTGATCTAATAAAAAAAACAACGTTCTGAAACAAAAAAAAAAGGTAGCAATGCCGTTGATAAATGAAGGGGAAGAAGTAACGCTGCTCGCTGTTGCTCTCGCTGGGGAGGATACGTTTTGGCTTTGCCAACCTGTCGGGGGGAAGCGCCTTCCCCCTGAGTGGAAGAATTGCACCTGTCAGTGGCTGTATCTTGTTGACGACGCGGACATACATAGCATGTTGCCTTGGTACAGGGATGATCTGGGTTCTGTGCTCGAGCTTGGTGTGGGGGCAACTTCAAAGATTGAACGTTTTGCAGTAATAGCTGACTCTGTAAAGGCTAGAAAGATCGTCGTTGGTGAAGGCCATGCATCCAAAACGTACTTTGTCGTTGGAAATGAAGAACGGGATCTCTTGGAAGCTAAGTTTGATGATTTACTGAAGCGTGAGACTAATGTTGTCACGACCGAAGCTGTCTCAGTTGCGACCTCCGAGAAACCAACGGAGGAAAGACGACCCATGAGCGCCACTAATCATACGCGTGAATTGAGTGATGATATTGAAGGAGGAAATAGTGAAGTTTTTGCGTGGAAAAACCATTACATAATGGAGTATGGAAATCGCATCTTCTACGTCTGCTCTGCTCTTTATGGGAATAAGACTGGGTTTAAGGTAGAAAGACTTATTCGTAAAGGTGTGACAATATATCTCCTATTTCAAGATGAAAACGCTGGGCCATGCCGAGTAAGTGAAACGCAGGAAGGCGAAAAGGTTACAACAAGCTCGATTTTGGATGGAAACGACGGCAAATTAATGGTGATGATGACGTCGTCGCGCGGTGTGGTGATGCGAAGGAGTAGAGAAGTAAGTGAGTGCACCAGATCTGAACCATCCTTTAAAGCTGTGCGGAAAGAGAGTTTAAGGGTAGACCCTCCGCAATACAGGACTCTTAAAGTAGCTGGTGTGAACCTGTGGAAAGACTTCGATAAAAGACCTGAAAATCTGATGAATTTGGTAGATTTATTCCCCTTTACAAGCGATGATGGGGATTCAGTGCGTACGACTGTCTTCTCGGACGGGACTTGCGTCACGTACAATGCAGCTACTGCTGCAAAGTACGCGGGAAGGAAAAAGGTTGTAGCCACACCGACAGACTGTGACATGATGGGATTATTGGAGAACATACAGCTGGCGAAGGAGCAGTTTAATGCCATGTAAAACAAAAAAAAGAAGACCAGGGTAAAGTGAAAGATAGAGATGGTGTGTCTCCTCTCATACGTACGTATATATATATTTAGGGTGTTTTGACCGATATCTCATGTAGTTTTCCCCCTTTTTTTCCTTCTCGGTGTCTTTCTGTTTCAACCACTATTGTCATCTGTCTATATTTGTTGCTGCGGTTGGAGCTAGCGAGAGGGGTATGTTGCGTTTTCGTCTAGTACTCACACTTTCTGCACAGGGAACCGTCCGGGGTGTTTTCCAAAGCAAAGCCTTTGTTTCTGCCAGCAAAGAGCTTCCATGCACTCCTGAGGGAAAGAATCCGTACGACGTTCTTGAAATTACTGTCACTAACGCAACAAGCCTGGATGACGTATCGAAACAGTTTCGAGAACTCGTAGTTCGTAATCACCCGGACCGACCAGGAGGATCACACGAGCGAATGTCTGAAGTAAACGCGGCATACAAAATTATCAAAGAACACCATGAAAAACTGATTAAGCGTCTGAGGGAATGCGAGGCAGATACAAAGGGAAATGAGGCTTACCAACGATACCGACAAACTCGTGCGCGTAGTGACGACGAACTGGGGCGATCTGGTGGTGTATTTCGGCGTAACGCAAAGGCTGCTGAACAGGCTTCCGGTTTTAGAAAGGCCCGCTCGCTTCAAGAAATTGAGTCTGATTGGAGACAATTTAAAGAAAATACGGAGCAAACTATTACGGGCATGTGTAATCGCTACGAACTGGCTGTTGAAAAAGGGCGTTTTTTCCGTAAGACCTCTATACTTAACGAAATTACGGTAAGGGAGAGGTGGCTGCGAAAAGGTTTTGTGAAGAACGTTTGGGAAGAGGTGCACGAAATGAGGGGAGAGCTTCTCCGTCGAGGTGCACGTAGCTCTCAGCAGTCGCAGCTTGCTGAAGAGATGGTTTCTTTTGCGTCCCTTACGCAAAGGAAGCTGAACGAGGATTTTCAACGTCTTACTCAAATGAGTGTCCAGTCACAGTCCCGCTTATTTATGCAGCGAATACTCTTTATTTTGCTGATGGTGGTTGTCTTTATCAAGGTGTGGAAGTGGATTCTCACAGGAATGTTTAAGAATTCACTCACGGTGCGGTTTCGACAGGGAATCTTGAGCCGCTGATAATGATGTTGGCGTTCCCCCCTTTTTTATATTTATTTATTGCTTCAGCTGCAATAGCTGAGTTCCTGACCCATGGTGCAGCGCATCTCTTGGTATTTGGTTTGGTTCTTGGGGCCTGGAGGCAAAAGTTTTTGCTTGTTGCTTTCATTTGTGTATTTGTCTCCCATATAAAGTGGACTTGGCGGTGTTTGTGCCAGTCCAATGCTTGCAAGAAAGAAAAATGCACAATTTGTGAATATAGCATCTCTTATGGTCTCCGATTCGGAGCGTAGTGCGTCCTTTGATCCGTTCGATGGTGCCGAGAAGGATGAAGCAACGCAGGTGCGGATCAAGTGGTGGTCGGATCATGTGGATCAAGTGTTAGAGTCAAATCGAAGCCCCTTTGTGGCTGCTGAAATTTTGTTGCAGCAGATGGGGGAATATGAAGCCTCTGAAGGTATCAAGGAAGAGCTTCTTCTTGCAACTGTTTTACCTGTTCTTCATCGTTGTGCGGCTTTCTTGGGCACATATGGAGATCTCCTGCAAAAGGCACTCCATGAAGTTGTACCGGCGATAATGTTCACGAGAACTCAAGCCTTGAGTCATGGCGAAGTGATCCAACGAAGATCTTATGCGGAGTGTTTTGCATGTATCCGACAGAAGTTCGATTACCATGTTAGTCTTGCCTCTTCTTTGCAGCGTCGTGCTGCTCTTGAAGAAGACGTGATGAGGCGCGTTGTTTGCAAATTAGACAAATTATGGGTAAAGATGTGCTTTAGGGCTTGGAAGGCCCTCTGTAATCATGTGAATGCGAAGAAGAGGGGCTTCCAACGTCTTGCGACGAGGGGAGCGGTGCTACGGGTTGTCCCTGGTCTTGTCAAGAGTTGGCGACGCTACGCACACGAAGTCACGCTGCACGAAAAACTCTCGAAACATGGTGCGCTGACGAAGGAATTAGAAACTCTGTATCTCCTCGAGCAGGCGGCAAAGAGTCGTCATGAGCGTATCCTTGAAGAAGTCAGAGAGAAGAATCGGCTACTTGAAGCGATAACAGAACGTTCGTTAGAGACGGAAAACCGGTTAAGGGTACTCGAAGGCATTTTAGACGAAAATAATCTCTCCTTACAGGCTCACTGGAAAAGCTGGAATGAGACTGCTACCAACTTGTTCTGTGACACCCACGAATCCCAGCCTCCCGTTATTGGTAATCTTCGTTCAGATGTGCAATCTACATTCCAAAACATCACAGATACGGCGATGCTTTACTTGAAAGAGGCACAGAGGCGTACATGGAAGTTAAGTAAGAATACTATTTGCCAGTTTATTGCCAAAGCGAAACTGGGCCCTGAACTGACGGAGCGGATGGGAGCTGACGAACTGATTGCTGCGGTAGCCCATGTTTGCCAGTCAGTTGCATCTCCCTTGAGAATCCTCGATGTTGTTCGTGACGACCAACAGAAGTACGATTTAACTCTGAAGTTTTTGTCTTGCATTAACGATGGTGGTCATTGCTCACTGTTCACGCAACACCAGTTCCGTTCTGAGGATGAAACTTTGGCTGATGCCTGTAAAGAGCATGGTAAAAATATGGTTGCACATGTTACCGCAGGTATTGATTCACTCCACTGTTGCCCGGAGACAAATGAGAAATATCTTTCTGCCATACAAAATTGCTTAGCGGCTGAAGAGCTTACTCAAGTGCATGATTATTTGGGTAGGGTTTTCTGTGAGCTCGCGGCAACTGGGCTCCCTCTAAACAGAGAAAAAATTGAAGGGTGTGTTGATACCATTTTTGAGCCACAAGATCGTCAAGTAGTGCGCGCGCTATATCCTTCACAGGGTATTACATGTGCTTCAGACATGATCAACTACCTTTCCAAGGTATCACAGTTCAGTACATGGTCGATAACCAGCTTGGTGGAGCATATAGAAAATCATTACGATGCCGATCCAAAGGAAGACCTTTTCTCTGCACTTTACGATGAGGACGTTATGAACTACTTCAGTGAGCACGGAAACGTTCTCACTGGCATCTTCACAAGGTTCAAAGAGAAGAGATTTCCTATGCTTCTTTCAAAGGAAGTGTTGAAGCCTTTCTTGCTTCGAAAATTAGGTGTACTTGGTGACGAAGTCGAGACCTTATTCCAATTAGGTGCGGTGCCGGGAAAGATATCCAAAGATGAGTTCAACAACTTTTTGCTTGCACTTGCTGCAATTGTCAACCCCTCTCCTTTTGTCTCAATTTCCAGAAAGCTTTCTGATGTGGTTGAGCTATGTACAGGTGGAGACTGAGTTATTACGCAGCTAAACTGGGAGGAGTTAGTCCTTAAATGGTTTCTATGTCCTGGCTTTAAGATAATCGGAAAGTTTTTGCTTCCTTCCACTTATTTTTGCATACACATACCCCTTTTCTCTTAAAGAAAGGATTATTATGTGGGAGGTAGTATGTATTCCTGCAAGACAGCCCACCGGACATTTGTCCATCACATGGCGCTAGATCCATCAGGTACTTTATTGGCATCGTGCTCGAGTGACAAAGGTGTTAATATTTTTCATAGGGATCCCGTAGAGACAGAGTCCAGTGCCTGGAACCTATGCTGCATTCTCAGGGATCACGTGTCTACAGTGACACGTGTTGCATGGTGTCTGCATAGGGAGCATGGGCCTTTGCTGGCTACTGCAGGTGCGGACCGCTGGATTTACGTGTACAAGATGAATGTCACTAAGCAAGGTGACAAAACAGTGGCTTCTGCAGGGAAGTGTTCATCTGTTAGAGGTTATGAAAAGGATGTGATCACAGATGTGGCATTTATTCCTCCTCGGCAACATCATGTTCTTCTTCTGTCGACCGCATCACTGGATGGATGTGTGCGTCTCTACGATATCCAACCATTGGAGTTGAACTGTGTTTACAAGATTACTCAAGAGACCGATGTCTGCCGTCCTCTTGACACGCAGCGTGGTGGAATTACTTCCATTGCTTGGTTTCCAAGTTCAGTTGATGAAGCCATGACTTTAGCTGTTGGATGCATGAATGGATGCTTCTACCTTTATCGGTTTTCGAAGGAACATGAACAGTTTGAGCGGGTTCGCAACGTACGTCCTGAAAAGGCTGAGGCTTCTATTCACCATATTGTCTGGGGCCCTTCGGTCGGAAGATCATTTCAGCTGCTTGTGATTTGTTGTCGTTGCTGCGTGTACGTTGTGCGACTGAACTGTATTTCACCTGCTCTTGAAGATTATGATTGTGACGTTTTTCGTTGGCCTCGTGGCGCTGTTTGTGCAGCATGGAGTCGTTCGGCCACATTATTGTACCTGATTAACGATGATGAGGCAATGGAAATGACAGTTCTTCAGGCGAGAGACCCTTCAGACCATCACTCATGGGAGGAGGTGTCACAGAACATGCCCTGATGGAAGAAGCAAAGTAAAAGTCAAATCAAAGGGCAACAAAAAGTCTAATAGTAGGCGCTGTTTTTCTTGGTGAACATGCACACCTGATTGTCCTTGACGCGATGACTGCTCGCAGGAAAAGTGTTGGAACACATATTTCCTTTTTCTTTCATATTCACTTTCTTCACTCTCTCTCTCACACACACCCACACAATAATTCGTTTTGCGGTGTTCTCAAGTACAATCCTTTTTCGGAAAAAAAAATATTTTCTAGGGGGCTTTCGTTGCTGCACTGCGGGATGTATGGCAGCAAGTCCACCGTCGAGATGGGGTTTTGTTCCATCCATCGTCGCAAACGAACAAAGGTTGATTTGGTGCCTTTAGATGAGCATTCTGGACAAATGCGCTGTAAACCCCATAAGGAGTGCCGTCAACGAAATGAGACGGAGATGGTTATTTGTAGTCTTCACAATCGCAGAAGGAATATTCATCAAATGAAGGAGGTCCGCAAAGGTATATTTGAATGCCTACCCCAATTTGCCTGCCGTGGTCAGTTCAGCGATAGTACTGCGGCTGCGTCCACTGCACCTGTACCTGTATCTGCACCCGCCTCATACGTTTTGCCACCAAAAGGTAGCCGCCCGCAGCAAGCACCCGGGGAGGCACGATTCACACCTTCAGTAAATGTGGCATGGGCACCTACATCTAATCGTGCACGAAATGTGGGACTTGTGACCTCCAATGACTGGGTGCAAACTGACCACAAGACATGGTGCGCAAGGCATGGGAAGTTGACATCTCAATGTGAGCTTATCAAGGACTGTTGCCACGTTTGCTATGATGCGTCTCTTTGTCTTTCTACTCCACTGGAGTTGCCAGCTGACCTTTCGATGAAAGGGTGCAAGGAGCTGCTATGCTCGAAGCACAACACATTGAGGTTGGTCGAATTTTTGGAGAGAACGCTTGACAAAATGGGGTACATCTGTGTTGCAGGGCACCGGTGTCGAGGTACACTTATTAATCAGCAAGAGGTGCTATCGGAACGGGACGCTCATCCCACCAAAGAGGTAGTCTCTTCATTTTTTGTATAAAAACTGTAATGGCGCGGAACGTCACATATTCATAAGGATAGAAAGAAAGGGACATACAAGGGCTACATGACTTCTCGTGCGCAATTTTTTCCCCTGTGTCTCAGATTGTGTCTTCACATCCATTTTTTTTCTTCTCTTATTTATTGTAAAAGGGACCAATGATTCCATCTGCTCAGGTTGAGCCTGATGCACCCTTAGTGGAAGGAATGGAAGAGGGGATAGTCATACAATGCACCAAAGTGGATGAGATTCGGCAGGAGACATCGTACCTCCATCTGAATTTTAGTGGCATTTCAAATGTGGTGTGCCAGAGGACAGTTGTACTTATTGCGCTTTTACTGTTTCAGTCTCTTTCTCAGTTTATACTTGAAATGTACGAGGATCTTATAAGCAGACACGTTATTATTCCAATGTTTCTGACAATGCTTGTAGGTGCAGGTGGAAATGCGGGGAATCAGTCCACAGTGCGGTGCATCACTGGTTTAGCAACTCGAGAATTTCGTCAAGGTGACTATTTTCTGGTCTTGCGTAAGGAGACTGTTTGTGGCCTCATAAGCTCTTTACTGCTGACTGTGGTTGGATTTGCTCGAGTGTACTATTTCTACGGAGGTCAATTCTTTTCAACGATTGCTGTGTCCCTGTCGCTTTTTTGTATTATGGTGGTATCTACGTTATTAGGTACGACTCTGCCTTTTCTATTCAAATTCTCGGGTATCAGGAAGGAGCACGCAGCACCTTGTATCCAAGTGCTGATGGATATCACCGGTGTCTTCATCACGTGTTTCTTGTGTGCCCTTATTATTCCCCAAAGTGAGGCGCGTGGTGATGACATGTGGACCTGAAGAATAAGACTGCTAGAATCTTGGTATTTGGAGTGAAGAGTCATGGAGACACCCTGCTTTCTTTGTGTCTGGTCTATAATTTTTTTTTTTGTTTTTGTTTCACATTGCATATATATTTGCTTTGTTTTGGTTTGTCGTTTCTCATCCAGTGTGCACAAGATGGTCGAGGCAACCCCAGATATGGCAAGGTACTGCTTTGCTGTTATATCTAGCAGACTGAAAAACGAAAAGATTCCAAATGCTCCTGAAGGCATCCCTAACGACCCTTGCCCAATATTCGTCAGCCTGAAAACTCTGCATGGTAGGCTTCGAGGTTGCATCGGCAATTTCGATGCTGAGCCACTGCATGAGCAACTCAAAAGGTACGCGATAGCTTCTGCGTTTGAGGACAGCCGCTTTCCTCCAGTTGAGCTAAAGGAGCTCCCGTCATTGACTTGCTCTGTGTGCCTTCTTCATTCCTTTGAAAAGGCGGCAAACTGGAAAGACTGGGTGCTTGGTGTTCACGGAATCAGAATTAAATACAAACACTACGGTGCAACTTTCCTTCCCTCGGTCATGCCAGAACAGGGTTGGGATCATAAGCAAGCGTTACATCATTTGCTTAAGAAGGCTGGCTATAGTGGTGATGTGACGGAGTCTGTTCTCAATGAAGTGGATGTGACCCGTTACCAGGAAAGCAAGGCTGATGTGTGCTTTGCATCCCTAGAGTCAAGGGCATAAGTATGAGGGCGTATTTTACCCCTTTCATATTCTCTATCCCAATCAAGTTCATCATGGTGTTGATGAAGGGGTTGGGGAAGGCAAGTGAGAAAAGAGTAAAAGATAGGTTTCTGCAAATATATTTTTTTTCGCTCATTCTCAGCTGTGAAAATATGGGCTGTTGCTTGAGCATACTTTGCTGTGTGTTGTTTTGGCGAGACCTTATTTTCCCCCTTTTTTTTTCTTTCTCTCCCAGTGCGTAACCTATGTTGGGCGGTCTCGTGGACGAGGCGAATGTTCCGCCAGAAGATCGGTCAGCCAAAAGTCCTAGCAAATCTGCCTTGTTCTTAAAGTCAAGAACAAAAAGGCTAAAAAAGGTTGATGAGTCCAGAGTTGACGGGTTCCTCGACAGAGCTCGACAGGGAATTCACTGCTCGTTTTGCGGTGGTGTGAAATGCAAGCATGAAAGCTGGATGGCACTAAAGGAAAAGCGGGCAGATACAGCAATAGAGGGCTTGAATTCAAACTGGGTAGGGACAGATGTGATTGCAAGTCAGCGACCGTCAACCTCGTTATTTCTGAAATATCTCCTTATCCAGCAATTCAAGGAAAAACATATTACAGGAGTATTCAATCTGCAAGAGAAAGGTGAACATGCGAGCTGTGGGCCTGATGGAGTTTACGCGTCTACTGGTTACAGTTACAACGGGGAGGAGGATTTGATGAGGCACAACATTAGTTACTATGAGTTTCCCTGGCCTGATATGACAGCGCCGCAACAGGACATTGTGCTGCGAAGCGTCCAAGTGATGGACTACCATGTCAAGAACTCTGGTAAGGTTCTTGTTCACTGCCATGCGGGATTAGGACGAACTGGACTCATGATTGCATGCTATTTAGTTTACAGCCAGCATATGCCAAGTGCAGAGGTTATAAAACTTGTTCGGCAAAATCGACCTGGAGCCGTTCAAACTTCAAGACAAGCACAGTTTATTTACGATTTTGAACGGCACTTGTGGAGGCTTACTCAGGCGTTTCGAGTGGAAATATCTGATGCAATTATTGACATCGAACTGTTTCTACAGCGACAGCGTCTTGTGTTACACGGAGAACAGGCGGATTACTACCGTTTCATACCCATGGTGGTTCATGTTCTTCTTTGTAGACTGTTGAATTTGACGAAAGGCTGTCATTCTAATGCGGAATTGGCACTTCTTTCCCTCGCATCCAGTGCATCTCCTGGGGAAGCGACACTTAGTGCGTGTAGACTCTCCATTAATAGACGCCGATTCAACGTGAATGCAATGACGGATGTGGGTATCCTTAGTTTTCTTGTCTGTGATTGGTTTAGGTCCATGTCGGCCCCGGCACTTAGTGTAGAAGCTTGTGATGCCATTGTTGAGTTCAAAAGAAAGGGACCAAATGAGCGGAACTCTCTCCCGGAAGAAATAGCCCGCATCTTGAGTAGATCTGTTCGACACACATTGGGCATGGTTGTATCGGCGTTCTACGTAATCTCTCTTCCAGTAAAACCCTCTGTTAAATCGTACGCGTTTAGGTGTCTCGCGGACTCGTTTGCACACGCACATGACCCTGTCAAAGTAAGACACAGTCCTGTTGAGCGTGAATTGATTTATGAGTTCTTCCTCGAGTGGGCCGATTCTATCCAAGACCTCTACTTTAATGTGAATCGTGTCGACGCAAAGCACACAAAAATTCGGAAAATAGCGCTTGCTTCTTCTATTGCCCTTGAGGACACTTTGCATAGTGACTTTCGACAGCGTGCTCTCACTTTCCATCCAGCAGATCTTGTGGCGGAGGACAGTGAGGAAAAGTCGTAGAATCTTCCCCTCCCTATTTATTTCGAAGACTTGCCAAGGTGTTGACGACTTGCCTGCCTCCAAAATTTTTTCTTTGCATTTCACACTTTTTTCCCCCGTGTGGGTGTGTGTACTTATTGGTGTGTGAACATAAATCTGTTTCTCTCTTCTTATTTGTTTCTGATGTATGACTATATGTATATATTTTCTGCATTGGATAGACAAATATGCTTAGGCGTTCCTTTAATGCATTGCAGAAGGGTGAGAGGGGGCTGTACTTTCCCATCAATCACCGCATTGTTGACCGCCGTATAGCCTCTGGGGTCACTATAGAAGAGACGGATGTGCAGTCACGGTATCGCCGTGAGCTTCGTACGAGCTTTACAACAGGCGAAACGCGACAGACTGTTCCTCCCGCGTGGAGTGCACGAGAGCGGCCGACACACTTTCTGTCATTGCGCCTCCCGGTGAGGAATGCCATCAGTACACGTGTGAAGGAGATGCATGAACAAATTCTTTTTTCACATCAGCAGCACGCCCCACTGCTTGTTCCACTCACAAAGCTTCACATCACTTTGGGTGTGATGACAATTCCAGAGAGTGAGTGGGCGAAGGTGCTTCCCTCCATTCACGAATGTGTCTCGCAGGTTTTTTCCCCGATCCATCCAATGAAGCTTCGTTTTCGGGGTTTAGGAACTTTTGGGTTTGGCCGTGTCCTTTTTGTTCGCGTTATTCCAGAGGCAGACTTCTTTGTCCTCGATAGTGCTATTTGTCAGATTCGACAGAAGGTTGGAAATGGGTTGGGTGTAGACATGAAGGGTAACCCACACGACTCTTATGTTCCTCATTTAACAGTAGCGAAGATTAGGCGTAACCAACAGGCTCAATTCGGCACCAGAATACCTCTGTCGATTTGGGCCGATTATCAACACCATGACTTCGGTGATGTCACGTTCTCGATAATTGACGTTTGTCGCATGCAAGGGTCGCATGACGGCTACTACCACACTGAGGGCTCCGTGCAGTTGTCGTAGCTGATGCAAAAGAAGCCCTGTATATATATATATATATATATATATACACTTTGGAAAGATCCAAGGGCTGAAAATACTTGACTTACTCAGTCGAATTGCCTTCGTTATGTTTTGTCTCGTTTTTTCCCCCTTTCGTTTACAGTTCCTTTGGTGGTTTTTGACGTGCCACGTCTGTAGCAATGAATACAAGCAAGACGAAGAGCACAACGAAGAGCTCGGGTGGCGAAAAGGGAGAGCAAAGAACACCGCTCGCCATCCCCATGTCGGAGAAACACAAAATGCAGCTTCGCGCGGCGTTTGATCTGTTCGACTCGGAGGGTACAGGGCGCATCAAGGCGCTAGATGTGAAGGTGGCACTTTGTGCCCTCGGGTATGATGTGAGCAAAGAGGAGCTTGGCCATCTGCTCCGGCACGTGGGCGGCTCCATCACTGGTGCGGTAGACTTCAATGAGTTCCACAGTGTTCTTCTTGCAAAAATTATGCAGCGTGAGAATCGATCGGAGGCTGTTCGTGCATTTAAACTGATAGATGTTGGCGAGAAGGGGTACATTGGCATTGATGATCTGCGTCCTATTGCGGACTCGCTAGATATTGATTTGACAGATGACGAGCTGGCAGAGATGATCCTCTTCGCCCATCCATCAGTTTCGTTTGGCAAGAATGAAACTGAGATCAAGGAACCACTCACAGTGAGCGAAGAGGAGTTTCTGAAGCTTATGAGCCGCGCTCATGTATATTAGCTCAGCTTACCTGTGTACTATCACGAAGCTGCGTGACGAACCGCGTGGACGCCAAAGTACGTTGCGGGTGGCAACAGCTGAGTTTTGAGTATCCTTCCTCTCGCTTGCCCGTTTCTCTTTCTTTCTCTTCCCTCTTTTTTTTTGTTTTCCTACTCTCCCCCTTTTTTTTCTTTGTTTCCCTTGAGACGGGGTAGTAGTGAAATGTCAGTTGTGGCAGTCTCCTCCTACTTTCTTTGGACGCAAAAGGGGAATACAATTTTGCCACTAGTTCGCGGCAGTGGTTTTCTCGTGTCATTTAAACAACTGAGCGGTTTCTATAGCTATCACGTCTTGAGCGCGGCTCATGTAGCATGTCCGGTAAGGTACCGACAAATCTATGGCGATACGGTTGGGCTGCGGGCGATTGGTGAGCGCCACATTAGCACAAGACTGCTGAAGCCACATAGCAACGGCCTGGTGGAGGCCTCGCTCGAGATGGAGTTCAAGCAGAACTTTTTTCCTAACGTTGATGTTGTGTCTCTTAGGTGCAGAGATGAAAGAAGGTTAAAAGATTTACAGTTGATCTCGGTAGATCTGGACCTCAATCCCATCGAGAATGACACGGAACTGTTGTTTCATGGAATAGATGTTTCAGAGGAAAAGACCAATCCCAATGATGACGGTCTGCGAGTGACACCAGTTTGTATTGAGGGAAATTGCAAAGCGGCACTTGTTTCTCTTGACTATGGCACCGTGGTTTTGGCGTCGCTGAAGTCACCTCTCATTCTAAGTATGTGTGGTGGACCTGTTGTGCGGAAGGACAATGGACGGTGTGTTGGCATTGTTGTTGCTCGAGTTTTGAAAGGTGCGCCTCCTCGTGATCCTCAGGTTGGTACCTTGTACCAGGATCCGTATCTGGACATTTCGCAGAATGAGGACATTCATGCCAACGGGAGAATGGACGTTGCATTTGTGCCGATTCGTGAGTTTTACGACTCTCTTAGGCGTTGTGAAATATAAGGCATTGTCTTCATGTCCGTTTGTTCATCTTTCTGTATGGAAAAAAAAATGACTGTATGGGAGAGTAGCTTACGCCTTTTGCACGCATCTCTTGCTTCTTTGTCTTCTTTCACTTGTATCCGGGAATAGTTGTGAGGGGAAATACAGTGATTTTTCATCAATAGAAAAGAGAAGGATGGTGAAAAAGCAGCCCGGTGCGGAAAATATCCGTGTGGTTGTCCGTTGTCGTAACTTGTTGCCATATGAGGCAGAGCGAGGCGACAAAGCTCTTGTGCGTCTTGACCTCGCGACAAACCAAGTTGTAGTTCAACACCCTATTGGTGACCCGGATACTTTTGCTTTTGATGCTGTGTACAACAATACATATACTCAGCGTGATATATTTCTTCAAGAAGTCCAGCCGCTCGTCGAGGCCGTATTGCAAGGCTACAATGCGACGGTCTTTGCGTATGGACAGTCTGGCTCCGGCAAGACGCATACTATGACAGGTAAATTGAGTGACACACAAATGTGGGGTATGATGCCTCAGGTGGTTAATTACCTATTCAATGAAATCAAAAAGCTGTCGTCTTCAACAAAGACATTCAAAGTAAAGGTATCCTACGTAGAGCTGTACAATGGTAAATCACGCGATCTTTTGGCTTCAAAACAGATAAACCTCGAAATCAAGCAAAATATGGCCAAGAACTTTTACGTAAAGGGCGCAGAGATGCCGGAAGTGACAAGTTTTGATGAGGCCATCCGGTGGTTTAACGCAGGTACAGACCGCCGACAGACTGCATCCACAGACTTGAACGATACGAGCAGTCGCTCCCATTCACTTTTCACCCTTCAGGTTGAACAGTTTGACTTTGAGCAAGATCCGAGTTCACCCATTGTGCTTACAAGCAAAATCAACGTGGTGGATCTTGCGGGATCAGAGAAGTTGAGCAAAACCAATGCCACTGGGGAAACTGCAAAGGAAGGTTGTAATATCAACCTGTCCCTTTCGGCACTAGCGACTGTCATTGATACCATTGTAAAGGGCGGCAAACACATCCCCTACCGTGGCTCACCACTAACAATGCTTCTTAAGGATTCCCTTGGAGGTAATGCGAAGACTGTCATGTTTGCAAATGTGGGACCCTCAGACAAGAATATTTCAGAGACAATATCTACGTTGCGTTTTGCACTGAGAGCAAAGCAAATTGAAAATAAGCCCATCAAAAATATGGATCCAAAGGATGCTCGCATTCAGGACCTTCTTGATCAGATTGAAGACCTCAAAGGAAGACTGGGAAATGTGGACTTTAACAAGGAAGATCAACTCCGGCAGCGTATCGAGGAACTAGAGATTGAAAACGCAGATCTTCGAGGAGGCGGTGAGAAGGACAATCTTGAACTAGAAGAAAATTGTCGTACTCTCCAAGCACAACTGGAACAGGTGAACTTGGCGCTTGCCGAGAAGCAAAAGGAGCTATCAAAGGAAATTGACGGGCAGTCTTTGTTGCAGTGGAACCTTGAAAATGAGACGGGCCATATGAGGGAGCTTAGATCCCTTGCAATCAACTTTATCAAACGAATATGCCAGGAAGAGCAACTGCGGGAGATACGATCCCAGATGCCCCAGGACGGTTCTTACAACACGACCGACAATGACTGGGATGTTAAGGAAATTGGATTCTACTTCAACGGATTCGCCGCAATGTACGATTCATGGAGAGAATCCACGTATACCCGAGAAGACCTTGAGAAGTATGCACAGAAAGCAGCGAGTGGCCTAATTGAGCAAGCACAACGGCAGCTTGATGAAGTTACCCGCGCGCGTGATGAATTAGTACGACTGCATCAAGAGGATTTAGCAAAACGTGCAGCCGACAATGAATCACTTTCACAGCTAAAGGTGGACTTGAATACACTTCGAGATGAAAATCTGAAATTACGTGAAAAGATCGAGCGGGACCAGGAGCGAATTAAGGCTAAGATTGCCAAAAGCAAAGAGGAATACAAAAGTTTGGCCGAACAGCTTGAACTCTCGCAGTCACTTGTAGTAGAGAAGGAGCGGGATATTGAGCGATTGAAGCGGATGCTAGAGGAGAGTGGCAACAATGCTATACTCAACGCATCGCTTAACAGCGGCCTCACGGGTGGCAATGTCGATGAACGTAGTGCTATTCTTCGGCAGCTACAAGAGGAGAAAGGGGCCAGAAAAGTGTTAGAGTCACGCATTAGGGAGGTTAATGTTTCCCTTCGTCGATATGGTGTTTGTATTTCGGAGACGAATGATGTTGCTGATGGATTTGGCGTATCTTCTGGTGTTAATGATGCTTTTATACTTGCAGCAGTTGAGGAGGAAACCATTGATGGCGATATTTATGCCCAGTTACAGCAGCAAATTCGTGTCAAGCAGCGTCTCACGGAGCTTCGCCATCAGCATCAGCGAAAGTTGGATGATCTAGTAAAAAAATATGAGCTTATCAAGACTGGAAGGACCACGTCCAACAGCGGTGTATCTGCTGATAATACACTTCATTCAACCGTCGCAGATGAGGCGACCGCGCAGCAAATCAAGGAGTTGCTAATGCGGAAAGATGATGAGATTGAACGTATTACTCATGAAAAGGAGAAAATATGTGATAAGATCGTGAAGAAGCTGAACAAGTGTGAAATGAAAATAAAAGAGTTAGAGACTACACTTGAGGAAGAGCGTGCACAATTTGCAGATGAACGTCAAGAGATTTATAGTGAAAACCGTGAGCTGCAAAAATACAACCAGCAGTTGTCGGTGGAGGTGGAGACGCTACGTGGCCAGCTTGGCAGTGTGAAGGATGAAATGGATTCCATGGAGCGCGCAAAGAGTGCTGAGATTGATCGCTGGAAAGAAGAAGCAGAGAATTACGCCACGCGACTTGATGAAGCACGGTCTAATATTGCTGGATACAACGAGCTGCAAAAGAGTTATGATCGCTTACAACAACAACTTCAGCGCACTGAGGCTTCTCTAAAGGAGAAGGTCGACAACCTCGAGAACAACCGACAGATGGTGAAGTGGTCCAATTCGCTTCTTGCTTCTGAGAAGCAGAAGGTGGAGCAGATGGAAATGATGATGAAACAGCAAGAAATGGAAATACGTCAGCGCGAGGAAGAATTGCGGAATGAAATGATGATTGATATCAACAAGCAGGTGGCGGCGAACAACCGTCGTCTGCAGGAGCAGGCCGCTCAGTATCACGAGATCGTCTCTCAAGAGCAAGAGAAGCAGAAGGGAATCATGAAAAAAGTAAAAAATGCAAGAAAAGATGCACAAAAGGCGGCCCAACGATACGACGAGATGATTCTTGAAAATGAAGCTCTTTTGTCCAAACTGGAGGAGCTAAAGGTGACTTCCATGCGGATTTTCCTTGAGAAACAGGAAGCTCAGAGAGAACTGGAGGCGTTACGCCCCACACGACAGGTCAGTGCCAGACGTCTCTGATGATACAACAACGTGTCCTCATCCTTGATTGCAGACAATTATTTCCTCAATGTGCACCTCAGCGCTATTGCGGAGTTGGTAGATAGTTTTCCCAACGTCATGTGAAGTTTACATTATATGGACGTGTCACTCCTGTGCGTCTGCTTGTTTAGATTTGGTATTCGGTAGATTTTTTTGTTTGTCTTCTTTTTCCCTTCGTCTTCCTATTCTCTAAGTCGCGTTGTCTCCTGTTATTATTGTTGTATTGTAGCATATGGTGCGGGACACAGCACAGCACGCTTCTGTTCTGAAATCGCGGCTCTCCAAGGATGCGGTGAAGGAGCAGGAAGTGGCAGTGAAGCGCAGCAAGCGTAGCAACTTCACAGTGGCCTCATCACACAGCAAAGGAAATCCTATTCACCGTCCTCTCAAGTATCATGAGAAAAAGCTCCTCCGAAAGCACGACTTCATGCAATACCCACAGGACAACTGGCACGAACCTTTCTGCATCACGAAGTACCACCTCGAAGACCGCGAAGACTACCGCCGATACCTGCGTCTGGTCGGCCTCATCAGACAGATTCTGGCGCACCTTCGCTACCTTCCCGCAGACAGCAAGGTTCGAATACAGATAACTCAACAAATGTTAGACAAGCTGCTCTCCATGGGTCTAATTAAAGAGAAACTTGGTTTGGCCGAAGTGGATAAAGTGGGTGTGGAGGCTTTCTGCAAGCGTCGCATACCCACTGTTCTGCGTGATCTCAGTATGGCGCCTAACTGCAAGCTTGCTGCAGAGCTTGTTCACCACGGGCACGTTCGAGTAGGCACCACACAAGTTAGAGACCCAGCCTTTCTTGTTCCGAAGGGCCTGGAGGATCTCATTACATGGATGCCGGGCTCAAAGATCAAACATCACGTGGACTCATTCAATGTTCAGCGTGATGATTACGAAGAGTAACTCTCTTGGATATGTGCGGTGAAAAGGTTTAACATGCGTTTAAAAGAAAGGGCATTCTCCTTTGACATTTCTGCTGACTTTGTCTGCTGTTGTTTTCTGCTTAGTCTCCGTCTGCATGTGATGTGTTTTCTCTTGTTTAAATTTTTTTCGTTTGCGTTTGTGACAAGTCAAGCCAAAACATGCAAAGGAGTTTTCTGCCAAATTGAAGTGTCACAGTCCTTGATTTGGGTTCACATGTTCCAGGCGTGTGTGTGGGTGGGGAGGAAGAGGAGGAGGAGGAGGAGGGGGGCGCGTCTCTCCTTCCTACCGCTGTGAAATGAGGAAGTGCACTTTGGTATTTACAACTCGGAGAGTAGCGCTTTCTCAGATTCCCGTGGAGGGAATTTGTTCCTTTGTTTTTGTGTGGTAGATCCGCAAAAAAGATAAGGCTTTCCGTTGTTCAACAAGTACAAAAAGCACAAAGTTGCGTTGTCCTGGAACCTCTGATTTTGGGGACTACGAGTTCACTCCAGTTGTCGGGCGTAACCTTGAGATATTTGTCTGCATTTATGGTTGCATGCTTTTGATTTGTGGAATTTTTTTTCGATGTGTCTGTCTCAGTGTAAGTGAGGCTCTGTGATGGCGTTTCTGCCCGTATGGTCATGGGAGCTTTGCCGACGCGTTTGTTTTTTATTTATTTTAGATTGCCGTGCGCTTCTGTGCGATGAGCTTGTCACCCTGGAATCGCCTTCTACTTGCTTCTTGTTTTGCTTTGTTGTTGACTAAAAGCCAATTTATCGCGTTGTAGGCAAAGTCCGAGAACGCACACGCACGCTTACACATCAACACAAGCGGAAATACACCTGAACAGAAGAGAGTGCAGCAGTCAAGGGGGGAGCGAAATCGTTTATTATGTGCGCCGATCGTTCTTCACGCCGAAAGGAGATGGACTTTATGAAGCTGATGAAGGGGCCGCGGAAGGTGCACCCATCGGACTCTGTGTCAGAGTTCTGGGTTGAGTTTCGCGGCCCTGAAGGTACACCATACGAAGACGGGACATGGCTTATTCATGTTCACCTTCCGCCAGAGTACCCATTCAAGTCACCTTCTATTGGATTCAGCAATCGCATCTTTCACCCCAACGTGGACGAGGGAAGTGGGTCTGTCTGCCTGGACGTCATCAACCAGACCTGGACACCCATGTACGAGCTGCAGATTATCTTTGACGTCTTCCTCCCACAGCTGTTGAGATATCCCAACCCTGCTGACCCGTTAAACTCTGCTGCTGCTTCAAAGTTGCTACGTGACCCCATCGCCTACGTTTCGATAATTCAAGACCATGTCGCAATGTATGCTACACGTGAAGCTGCCCTGGGAAGCATTCCCGCAAACTTCCAACTCCAGAAAGAGGGGTTCATCAGAGTGGATGAAAAGAACCGTCGTGCCTCCGAAGAAGACTCTCCTGCCACCTCCAAGGGTCTCACATGCGCCCCGACTTCAAGTTTTGAGAGCGAAGAGGATTATGAACCAGATGCCATTGAGATCTAGCAATGCAAAGAAAAAAAAAAGGAGTAGCTGCATACCACCAGACAACTGCTGCTTCTATTCAAAAGTGAACACGTGGAGGTAGACCTAGTTATATGATGAACAATGAGAATAGGTAAAGACGCTGCAACGCTCACTTGCTGAATTTACCACCTTCTCAGGCTGCAACCGCCATTTTGATACAAACATTTGGACGCGCACCCTTCACTAAATGTATGTGCCTTGTCGTGATGGGGGATAAAGCCGTGTCTTCTTCTTGGGTTCGTATAGATCTTGTTGTAAGCAATGCTTTAGTTTTTCTGCTCCGTTTTTGTTTCCCTTTGCTTATCTTTGCGTGTGCGTTTTCTCATACCAAAGAACCAATCGGCTTTAACTGCCGACACCAATGATTCGACCAAACCAAGTGAGTTAGCAGCCCAGTGAGTGTAACGTGGCAAAAGAAAAAAAAAAAACGCTTCGTTTTCCCAATTACCCGTAGTGTGGTGCTGCCACGTGTCTGATTTTGTTTCTGTTTGGGTGCTATGTGGTTCTCTTTAAAGTGTATTTATTATTATTATTTTTTCCTTTATGAGAACTAGCTTTGAAGGTTCGCTTCTTTTCCTGTTGTTCTTTTCGTCTCTAAGTTTTTCTTCAACAGAATGAGAAACAACAGTAGGAAGCTTCCAACGCTGATATCATCTACGAGCTTGTGTGGTTTCCCGGAAGCACTGAAAGTGAATGCATTACCTCTCATCGATTGTCTGCTCAACTGGTCCGTGCACCGCGGCACAGAAGTGTTGGTGTCGGAGCTTTCTGGATGACGGTAGAAAGTTGTCATGGCTTGTATTGGAAAGAAATTTTTTATGGACTTGTGGTGGAGCTTGCCTGTATTAAGAGGAAGAGCCAGTTGCCAGCCGGGGGAAAGTGCTTTCTGAAACCTTGCACATCCGTGTGTAGGCTCCGATGGTTGCACGGTAATCCTGGAGGTCTTTGTGATATATGTGCATAGGTGACCATGCTACAATGCATGCCTTATCGATGTGATACAACCATTCGAATTTGCCTTTCTTCTGCATCGGTCAGTGGCCTCAGACCCGATTCCTTTCGCTGCGCATAGAGCGAGCCGTGGGCTTCTTGTGGGATCGAAGGAGGTGACATATTACTTGATTACCTGCTAGGCCCCGCTCTTCACGGTGCCATAAATCTGATCGTAGCCTTCACTCTACTGCGTTGGTTTTTAACTCATGTGGTGCGCAACAGCGGAAGGTGTCTATCCATGGATACATCACAATAAAGTCTTTCTGCAATGTCGAAGGGAGTAACTCTGCTTTGTTCTTCAGCGATTTTGCAACGGCTTGCTTTGTTTCCTTGTGCACAGAGTGTGAGAAAGTCGAGACACTGTTTGCCAACGCCAAAACAAAGAAGAGATTTATCGTCTACTCATTGCGCCTTGAAGCATNAATTGATCAGAGAAGAATGCCCATACCTCGCATATTTTTCATCATGTTCTGATAGCTTTGGCAGTGGCGGTGTAATTATTCCGTCTGCATCCGTTGCGGTGGATGTCAGAGCTGGCTCGATCAGGTTCCAGTGTGCTTTGCTCGATTAGTTAAGGATGCTGCACGTGAAGGTTGTCTTCTTGCTCTACCTCTTCATCAGACGAGTGTGCGCCTTGTTGTTTCGTCTTACATGGATTGTGTTACAGGCGCGTGTTTTTTTTTTTCCCTTCGAATCCCGGTTGGTATAAATCGTTCATTCGTGGAGCACCGTGGAGGATGCGTGCGACGCGACTTGCAAATAGACTGAAGAGTGTGCGCTCCCGTATTCGTTTGCTTCTTGTGATGATGAGGTGTTGTCTTTCATTACCTTTGTTTTTTCGTTCGTCTTTCATCTCTCGCACAGTATGTTGTATTAAAATATAACTCTCTGCATTATGTTCTTGTATGGTTGTGCGTCTGCCTTCAACTTGGTTGATAGTCGTTACGTGTCGATGTTGGCGCGTCATTCTGCCATGACGGGAGGAGAGGAAGGGGGGG